CTGATCTGATCGTCAACTTCCATGATCTGATCTGATCTCTGATCGTCAACTTCCATGATCTGATCTGATCTGATCGTCAACTTCCATGATCTGATAATTCTGAATTCTCTACAGAGGCTGGATTAATCTCTTGTCTCCTTCTCAACTGCATGTGTCTAGGGGTGTGTGTGTGTGTGTGTGTGTGTGTGTGTGTGTGTGTGTGTGTTAGATTTTCCCCACAACAGCCCCAATTCCACGCAGGTGAATAGATTCAGAATCAAAGCAGTCTGTCCTATTGCAGACAACGATAGCCAACATATTAAAGCGTTTTTTTTTTTTTTTTTTTTTTGGGTGTGTGTGTGTGAATCAGTGGGATGGAGACGAGGAGGATCTGATGTCGAGTGTCCAGTTGACTGACCTTTTCCTAGCGATTTTCTTAATATCCCTGTGAATTCCAGTTGGCTTGTGAGTGCGCCTGCGCGCGGGCATGGGCTCGTGTGTGTGTGTGGCTGTCAGTTCACGAAGGAGAAGGGACAGGAGGAGGAGAACGACCGGGAACGCTGTGTAGGCGATCGCGTTGGCATCGAGAGTTCCGTTGCACACACACACGTCATGGACATGTACGGGACTGAACTAGGCGATGGGGACAGGGAGATGATAAGACATGAACAGGAGCGAAACCATCTCCATCCCGCCCATGTAGAGGGATGCCGATTTGTCGTTTGTGCCCACCCTGTACGAGCTTGAGCATGCTTTGATTTCGGATTGGTATTTCAAGCAAAGGGGCGACATTTCCTGGAGACTCTCTCTCTCTCTCTCTCCCTCTCTCTCTCCCCCCCCCTCTCTCCCCCCCTCTCTCTCGCGCGCGCGTGCGCGCACGCACGTGTCACTAACTGGCAGTGAAGCCAGGGTTATCGCCTGCGTTGTTTACATGGGGAAAACTGTCTGCCTCTCTCTCTCTCTCTTCTCTCTCTCTCTCTCTCTCTTCACTAACTGGCAGTGAAGCCAGGGTTATCGGCTGGGTTGTTTAGATGGGGGGGGGGGGGGGGAATCGTCCGCCTCTCTCTATTGATTAATTAACATCCCAGCGTTCTGATGATCTGATCTTGTTTTTTTTTACCACTGGCCGGTTTTATTTTTTCTTTATTATTTTTTTTAAGAGGGCTGCGCCGCACTCTGCTGCAGTGCAATACAGAGGCAACACTGGAGGGGTCGAGTAAGCAAGCTTACTCGTACGACCCCTCCGTGGCCCAGAAAAAATAATTTCATATCGTGTGGTCCCCGATGGACCACGGATCAGATATTAAACTGATCAGAACAGATACTACACTTGAATCTTACATAGCCAGAAGGCCGAGAAAGGTATACACTGGCGGGTTTTCCATCATGTCCGCAGGAAGCTTTTTCCTTCACGACACTGAGTTGTTCCCCTGGCGCAGCATAATGACCGAGTTACCGCGCAGACTGTAAATTGATACCCGCACGATGCTTAGTGAATATGGGCACACACTTTGATGCGCAGTAAATCCAAACGGTGAAAACTCCTCCTGTTTTTGTGAAGTACCGTCCGTCAAATATTTGGAACCCGATTTCCGATTTGAAAGATATCCAATCACAAATTCTTTGGCCACAGAGTCTGATGAAGATGTTGAACTCTCGCAATCTGAAAAAAAAAATGAAAAAAGGTTGGCGTT